TCCTAATGATGTGATCCCGTTCATCAAATGACAACACATGTCTATGGTTAGGAAACTTAACCATCTTTGATTAACGAGCTAGTCTAGTAGAGGCTTACTAGGGACACTGTGTTTTGTCTATGTATCCACACATGTATCAAGTTTCCGGTTAATACAATTCTAGCATGAATAATAAAAATTTATCGTGATATAAGGAAATATAAAATAACAACTTTATTATTGCCTCTAGGGCATATTTCCTTCAATAGGCCACCGACCCGGACATCCCCTGGTGTCACCTGCAACTCCACCATGACGAGGAGACCCAACAGTTCTTTGGGGCTTCCACATCCTGGACCATCGGTGACGACAGGATTGCCATTTTTGGTGTGATCACTGGATCGAGGGTTCATATGTCGCTGAGATTGATCCAACCCCGATCCCCTAGTCTTGCAGAGGTAGCGCCACTAGCGGCTTGTCTATGATGCTCTCTAGGATGGTCTATGGATTTGGAACATCCACAACACCATGGGCCCTGCCATCGCTGTTGAATATATTGAGCTATGGCGGCGGATCCAGCGTGTGCAGCTCACTGCCGATCCCGACAAGACTACCTGGAGGTGGACCAGCAATGGCATCTACACCGTTGGTTCGACCTACAATGCCTTGTTTATTGGGTCGACGGTTGCACCCTTCTGGCGACTCATCAGGCGCTACCAGGCCCCCGCGAACACCAAGTTTTTCTTATGGCTTGCCTCCATGGACCGTTGCTGGACTGTCGAGCGGCATGCTCGTCATGTACTCCCACACGACCCCCTATGCAAGTTCTGAAGTCAGGAGATTGAGACTCTGGATCACTTATTGGTCGAATGCACCTTCTCCAGAATCACATGGCAAGAAGTTCTCTCATGGTGTAGACTGCCGACTCCATCGCTAACCATCACGGCGAGCTTCTACCCCTAGTGGTCGGACACTGCCAACGCTGCACCGCCCAACCTATGCAAAGGAGCCAACTCCCTCATAGCTCTTGTCGCTTGGTCCCTCTGGAAGCACTACACCGCTGCGGTCTTCGAGAACCTCCGGCCATGGAAAAACGACCTCGCACACACTATCTAGGACGAGGCACGCTTGTGGGATCATGCAGGAGCCAAAGGCCTAAGAGTAGTTATTCCCACATCCTGACTGCATTGTACTGAGGCTGAGTGACCTCCTCCATACTCAATTGCAGCCCAAGGGACGCCTACTAGCGCACGACCCCTAGGGTTGCACGCTGTAACTTCTTTTCCATCCTATGAATGCAAAGGTACGCAACAATGCGCATTCACGAAAAAGAAAATATCGACTACATGACGCTTCACAATCTTTGGCCCTAGTGGGAGACATTGTGGAGTTAGTTTCTAGGTGATTGACGCTCACCCACTGGTACATCTTGAGCACGGGCGCAAGTGTGGGCGGTGGCGATGGTGACAACACTGGCGGTGGGTAGATGTGGTCGCGGGCCATAGAGAACTGGAGCACATCTCGAGGACAGACCATTGAGTGAGCTCCTCGCGCTCGGACTCCTCGATGGCGTGCCGGGTCGCCTCCTCCATTGCCGCCTGGTACACCTTCTCGTCCTTGTCCTCCTCCCTTGCCACCGGTGGCAACGATGGAGGGCGGGCATCGATCTGGACGATTCCTCGATGGCACACGTCTTGCTCAGTCACGAACCAAATGTCCCAATTTGGGGAGTCGAGTGTGTACGCAGCTTCATGGCATTGCTTTCGCATGAGAAGAGCACGACGGTTGGGGATCTCTACCGCAGGCGCACACTCTGACTGTGGCATGGCCCACATCGGAATCCAGTGAGGGCTGAGATGCCACATGTGCAGGAGGTTGACGTCAGGCCACGACAACGGGATGCGGTACTCCCAATGGTATCACGCATGATGCACCGGGATGTAGAGTCGATCGCATGCCCCCTCCTCCCCCGTGGCGCCAACGTGAAGTTGGCCGAGCGGCGAAGATCCGGCCTCATGGTCATGCTTGCCGCGCTTGTGATTGAAGAAGCTCGTGGCGACGACGGTGGCTAGGGTTTGGGTCAGCGGGCAAGGGAGCATG